TGGGGATGCAGTGGATGGTCAAGCCTGATGGATATTAGTGGGTCCTGAGGGTATTTTTAACTTCTAGAAAAGAAAATAGGTCAAAACTGTACTGGTAGAAGAGAAGGAATAACAAGACAGAATTTGTCACACCTAAGTAGGCAGTTGCTAAAATAATCTAAAAAATAAAATGGAATTGAAGGTTTTAAGAAATGGGATCCAATAACCGCAATTTAGGTGTCAATGAAATACATCCTTCTGCATTTACGTTTTTCTCTGGCCTAGTTATTTGGTAGAGTGATAAAAGCAAGCATTGCTATCGACAATGGAAGAGCAGCTGAGTTCATCCGAAGGCGGAACTACTTTGATAAGTCGAAGTGTTACGAATGTGGCGTGAGTATGCCTAAAACAGTGTAATTTCCCATTGTTTACCTGAAGGCATTTCCCACATCAGTGTTTTATTTGGGCCCTCCAAAACTTCTGGTTGGCTAAAATTGGGTTATGAAGGTTGTTTTACTTTGAGGCTCTAGGCTCACATAAGTAAACTCAACTGAAATGGAGTATGTAAAGATAACTTGAGTTGGGTAAACAGAGTGGTATTTTCTCCAGTTTCTAAATCTTTGAAAATTGTTAGATTAGGTAGTGTTAAGACTAGTTACTTATATTATTGTCTGAAACATTTTAGTGACCCATAAATTTTTGTGTTTCTATAATATTTTGCCAATGATTAAGCATCACAGTTAAAACATTATCACATGACCTATCTTCTTTGGATATTGTTTTGAAAGTTTTTTTTTTTCCCCCATTAGTACTGCTAATAGTTAAGTAACTGAACTATACCCAGATTTTCTTATTTGGTTCTCATCATCTGTTGTTACCCATTTAAACTTTAGGTAATTAGGGGAGATGTACAGTCACAAAATAATTTTGCATGAGACCCATAATGATATCAAAAGAATTTCAGTCTGGGTCTCGTTGTCTATTTCACATATATATATACATATATATACACACATACATACACACACACACACACATGCACTCTCTCTCTCTCTCTCTCTCTGTCTCTCAAAGCAGGATCCAGAGGTTAATGGGGAGCTTTTTACTGAAGAGAGGTTACTGAGAGATACTGCCCTGGCTACAAAATCATGTGGAAGATAGAAGGAAATGGATTGGGGTCCTCTTCCCCTCAAAATTATACAGATACACAGATAGATGGGCGGGTGGGTGGATAGGTGGATGGATGGGTGGATGGCAAGAGAGAGCAAGCAAGGCCCTGGGTACATTCTGTCAACTTTTGTGATTGTGATACCTAAGTTAATGTTTCAGAAACTGTGTTCCAGAGTCCTGAGTTTTGTTTGAAAAGAAAAATAAGGAAGGGAGGCACGAGGAGTTGTTATGATCAGATAGATATGTTACCTACATATTGACACTAAATATTACATTATCTGAGAACTCCTGGATGAATCTGTTCATCTGTCTTTTTGGTTAATGGATCTATAGATTTGTTATATTATACTTTGCACATTATATTTCTTAAATTTTCCCCTCAGAAAAATCTGCTTACATTTATTTTAGCCTGGTTTTTCCCAAATCTACTTCACTACTAAACTTCCCATTTTTTGTGTGTGGGATATGTTGACAGCTTTTTGTATACCATTATTCTAAAAACAGTTTGGAAAATGCTTCTCTAAGTACATTCTCTCAGCATTTCATTAACAATGACAGGTCTTGGGTTCAGCCATGTCCCCAGGTAAACAAGTACACAGTTTATTTGATGTTTTGTGAAGTATACTTGAAACGCATGATTATTTTTCTCTTCTCTTGTTCTAATCCTGGCTCAGTCTCTCCCCACACCCTTATTCTCACATATTACTTCTTAAAGTTATTTTAGTAAGCCAGTATACAGATTCATTGTCTTGTTTTACAACTCAAACAATGTTATGGCTCAGTATAATATTATGGCTAATCCAGCACTGTCAAATACGAATGTATGCAAGCCACAAGTGTAATTTAAAATTTTCTAATAGCCATATTAAAAAAAGAAGCAGAGTAAGAAAAAAATTAATGTTTTATTTAGTATAAAATTTTATCATTTGAATTATATCATTAATATTTTTTTAAATTGCAGTATTTCACATTCTTTTCTCATACTGTCTTCACAATGCAGTGTGTATTTTAGTGCATATCACTTTAGACTGGTTCTCAGTAACCACAAGAGAATTACGGCCAGTGGCTACCATAAGTGGACAGTGCAGATAGAGTCTAGATATGAAAGAGGCAAAAGGAAATGAATAGGAAAATTGAAGATTGTAAATTTTTTATTTTTTTTAAGAAGGGCTTTTTAAAAATCATTTTTAAAATAAATTTTTTTATTATTATTATTTATTTAATAAAGGTACTGGGGATTGAACCCAGGACCTCATGCATGTGCTTTACCACTGAGCTATACTCACATTCACCCCCCAATTTTTCATTTGTTTCAGAACAGAATGTTAAACAACATCATGGAGGTTAGGAATAGTTTTTTCTCTATTTTATCATAATAACTTAAAATTTTTACACTTAATGTAGATGGTCCATTTAAATTTTGAATTGTTTTATATCCTGAATCTTGAGATATCATAATCTCTTCTAAATATTGAAGTAATAGGTTTTAATTTCTTTGTGTATATTCCCAGTGTGACAGCATTCTTTTTTAAGTTCTAAAACATTTTAGTCTTAAGGTACCACCAAGTTTCTGTTAATAACACAACAACACAGTATTTCTTTCTTTCCATTTTAATGGCAAACAAAAGGAAAGTGGACACTTAAGTTATGCCTGTCCTAAAAATATGCTTGGAGAACGGGAGCCTCCAAAGAAGAAAGAGAAAAAGAAAAAAAAGAAAGTTCCTGAACCAGAAGCAGAAATGTATGTACATCCACTTCACTAAATACATTATTGTGTTGCCTCTGTCTTTTTACTGTTGACCGAGTGCATTCTGATTTTTTTTTTTTAATAATTTAGTGAAGAAGTAGAAGAAAGTGAAGATGAAGGGGAAGATCCCGCTCTTGACAGCCTCAGTCAGGCCATAGCTTTCCAGGTACTAGATAGATCTTCTAAAAGGCACCGGGCCACAGCCACCTTGGCATCAGTAGTTCTACATTCCTGTCTTACTTTGTTAGTTGTCTTCTCATGGCAACCTCTGTCTTTCCACTCCACTCCCTAAACTTCAAGAGATAGGCTCTTTCTTTAAGACCTTTAGAGCAGTATGATGGAAGGGTTCCCATTGGTTCTTTCTAGATTTTAAGGGACTCACAACACTTTTAACATCATAATCTATATGAAACATTTTTTGAAGAAGGGCGTATGACTTCCTAATTTCATATAACCAGTTATTTTGTTTTAATGTAGCTGATAAATTGTAAGTGCGTACATCAATTTATTTTTCCTTTTAATTATCTAATGTCGAATTTTATGTAACATTCCCACGTCCAGCAGGGATGGCAAGTAGGCTTTATTTCATGTGCCTGTTAATTAGTAGAAATTGCCTGGAATAATTCTGAGTAACATGCTAAGACTGGGGCAAAACTTGGGAGTCGGAGAGTGGCACCCTAGTGGAGCAGATTGTCTGCGTGGGCTAGGAGGTGGAGAGTGCCAGCACTTGTGCTGTGCTTTCGCTATGTTTTGAACTAGTGCACCATGCATCATATTAAACAGATTCCTGACTGTGTTTTGTTTTGTTTTCTGAATCACGTTACAGCAAGCCAAAATTGAAGAAGAACAAAACAAGTGGAAACCCAGTTCCGGGGGTCCATCAACATCAGATGATTCAAGACGCCCAAGGATAAAGAAAAGCACATACTTCAGTGATGAGGAGGAACTTAGTGATTAAAATTGTATTTATTATGTAAATATCATTAAAATTTTTTTCAAATCTTGGAGTACCAAGTTCAGTTGGGAGTAAAGATTACTTTTGGAACTTGAACATAAGAACACTTAGTACCAAATAGTTTTTTACTTTAAAATAGTTCATAGGAAATTGAAAAGTAATTTTAAGGTATCATGTTTCTATCTTGCATCAAGATTTGCTAATAACCATTAATCTTGAAAACAGTTCGAGTATAAAAGAAAACAATACTATCATAATAATGCTCTTGTCATCTCAAGAAAAAAGATAGATTTTTAAAAGATTTGTTTGAGAAGTTCATTATGAAAGTTTATTCCTGTCTGATTGGTTTACACGAGGACTTCAGAAATAAACTTCACCTTTAAAACAAAAACTTCATAAAGACTGTGAAAAAGTTAAATGATTTATTATTATTAAAGATTAATAAAACTTTCTCAAGAGAACTTTATTTTTAAATATTGGTGTTTTTGCCATCTTGTTTCTTTTAGCTTTATCCCAATCTGGATACGTTGTAATTACCCACAAAATACAAAGTGAAGTAGCTCTCAGAGGCTTATAACCAAACAGCAGTCATTTATCCTGCCTTTGGCACCAAGTTCCATTCCCCAGAAGCAGCCAGCTGCTTTAGCTGTTTCTCTTCACGTGTATATATGTATTGCTAAATAAAATACATATATTTCTGCCAATTAATACATAAAAGGATAAAGGAGGATATTTCAATCTCGTTTACTTCCCCCCCACCCTCCTCCCTCTTCCCAATATGGCTATGTTAAAATTTCTGGTTAAATCCATATTTATTGTTTATATTTTCACCCATTGAAATACTGTTCACTTCAGAACCAATGACTGCTATGATTATATTTTCCCTAGGGTTAATAATTGCCTCATTTTTTTCATGTATTATTTTTCTTTGTATTTACGACTGAATCTCCCCATACGTTCTGCAGATGGTTACATGAGAATGGGATTATGGAGCCTTTTATTTCCTGCTTTCTATATTTCTATACCATTGAGTGCTTTTGAAAAGAAAACTTACTAGTTTCTTAATTACTAAAACAATAAAAATCTCTCTACTTTTTTTTTTACATTTTTTATTGATTCATAATCATTTTACAGTGTTGTGTCAAATAAAATCTCTCTACTTTGAAACCACAAAGGCCATGAAAGTGTTAACCCCTCACCATGAAAAAAATCTAGATCTCAAGTGAGGAAACCAGACAAAATGACTGCTGGACTCTATTTTCTGTTTCACCCATTCATCAAATTTAAAATGAGGGAACAATTGGGGGAAAAAATATGGCACAAAATATAGGAAAAGGTTCACATGAATACCTTAAAATACAGAATAGAAAATGAGCTAGTGGCCTAAGCAATATAGAGAAAATGAAAAATATTCTTTACCAGTTATTAAAGACTCTTAAAATCAGTAGAACCTTATTTTTACCTAATTAAAATTAGTAGTAATGAAGATGACTTAAGAATACTTACGTATTATAAACTTGCTAATTTCTGAAGGGTAATTTAACAAGTATCAAATAATAATTATGTTCTATTGTTTGAACCAGAAATGACATTCTCTTTTACCATAGAGTTCTAGTCAGAAATACAGGTATTTATGTACGAAGGTATATACTGTTATTTAAAATTCAAAACAATAAAAAATAAAGCATGATACATAAAAAATGACTGTTAAGAAGCATTAAAAAGTTTCAGAGAATTCCGAATGGTTTGAAAAACATTCAGTATTTAATGGCAAATGCAAAATCCCTGCTACATATGGATACACAGGCATATGGATGGCAAAAGTCAACCACTGAGGTAGTAGCGGCCCAACAGCTGAGACTAGTGTCTTGACACCGGTTCCTGTGGCCATGTTGCCACTCAGAGCTGATGGCCTTGGGCACTGACTTAATCTGAGTTACTGAAAAACATAAAGGTAAAAAGGTATGAAGAACACAGAAGGACAAATACTGTATAATTCTTACATGAGGTACCAGAATAGGCCAACTCACAGAGACAGACAGAACGGAGGTCACCAGGAACCAGGAGAAGGGGGACAGAGTGTTGGTGTTTAATGCGTGGAGGTTCTGTTGAAGATGATGACAAAGGTTTGGGTATGGATAGTGGTGATTGCTACACATCATTGTGAATGTACTTAATGCCACTGAGTTGTATGCTTAAAAATGGTTGAAATAGTAAGTTTTATGTATATTTTACCACACAAATGTACAAGCATAACTGGTTAAAATTTTGTGTAAAGAGCAGTTAGGCCACCAGGACCCTCCCTACCACCCCCTAATCATGCTGAACCACGATACCTGCAGTCTCCTTTTCCTGCCAATGTCCAGAATACATCGGATAGGCTCATTTCACCTCAGGCAGGGGGCCAGGGGTGGGGACGTACAGTCCTTCCCAGGAGAAAAGACACACAGACACTGGAAATTTGGGACCTCTTAACAAGTCGGTTCAACAATAAAATCCCTCAAGTTGATGCCCAAGGTGGTGATTGATGGTGGTGGTGATAGATGCTTCTGATCAGCTTTTAAGGGCTTCACCTTCGGATATGAACACAGACCAGCATCAACAAGCATTTGAGGAAAGCCTCAAACACAGTAGAGACCCAAGTGACCAGACGAAAAAACGGGGAGCTTAGAGGAACTGAGGAATTCTGGCTGTAAAAATCTATCCGGCTCCACGGGTTTCAGAGACAGGGACTACGGGCCTTTAATAAACCAGGTGATTTCTAACATGACAGCATTTGTTAACAGAGAACGCTTGTCTTGCTGGGTATGTTTTCTTTTCCTCTGCAATCATTTATTTATTCATTTGGTTTTTTTTGACCAGGTGCCTATTCTGGAACTGCTGGTTATAATGTTCAGATTATTACAAAAAACAGATGGCCACATATAATAGGACATATTTATAACTATTAAGTGTTAATTCATTTCTTTGTTTTTTATTCTGTAAGTGGGTGTATATGTGGTACACAACAGTGATCATGAAAAATATTTAGGCATTAATATGTGTAAATAGTAAAACCTTGGCTAGAGAAGTACTTGAAAGCTTCACATGGAATATACCACAGATAGACCAGTAATTTAGACTCAATTATTTGTAGAGGAATGAAGGCATGACTTTTAAAAGGTGAGATGGAAGAGTCACTGGATCACATAACTGGGACATTCAGCTTCAGAAATGGATGAAGGGGTTAAAAATGTAATTAGAAATCTATTTGTCTTTGTCTCTTACCATGGCTTTACTCTGTACTACCTTTGTTTTCCAACAAGCTTTCTTTATGAGATAGCAGAGGTGACCACCAGTATTTCTAAGGCTAGGAATCCTAATAATGAGTACTCCTCTTCCCTGGTGGTTCCACCAAGAAAAGCCCTGAGGGGCCAGGACTATATCACAGTCCCCACTCCCAAAGACGAAGAGTAGGGTCAGTCCCACCCAACCCACACAGACCAAAGGTGTTCCTATGCAATGTGGTATTTATTTTCAGCTGGGAATCAATGTGGAAGTTACTTACCTTGTCAAAAGAATCCTAAACTCCCTTTTCACCATTGTTAGAGACAGAATACTGAGACTGCTGAGCAGGATGCACTGAGAAAACAGAGATGCAGCACCAAACAAAAAGAAGTCATTTCCCGTAATAAGCAATTTTCACAGGCTATTTGCAAAACATATGGAAAGAGGGTTAAAGCCTCATTGGAAAGCAGTTTGATAAGCACCAATACTTAAAGTAACAATGTGAGCAACTGCAGTCAGTGACTAAACCCTAAGTCCACATAATGGGTTTAGCCATTGTCAATTATTTTAAAATTTAAAATTGCTTTTATATTTGTATTTATATTTAAACATTTATATTCAAAATTGCTTTTATAAGATCCAAATTTTAAGAATATTTATGTTGTGTTATAGATAGAACCAATTAATAATTTTAGTGAAGATCTGGTATTTAGAGTAAGCAGACCAGAAATATACCTTTTATGGAATGCGGTCTTAAGCAGATTCCTTTCTGGGAGTGTTGTATTTTTTATCACCACATCTTTCCAAATGCATAGGTTTATGTGAAACACATAACCTTTTATAAGGAGATAGTATAGTTTGGTTAGGGCTTCATGGGTACAGTTGTCCCCCAGCATCTGCAAGGAGTTGGTTATGGGACCAATGTCAATGGCCAATAGACATATGAAAAAATGCTCAATATCACTGATTATCAGAGAAATGCAAATCAAACTACTGTGGGGTGTGACCTCACACCAGTCAGAATGGCCATCATTCAAAAGTCCACAAACAATAAATGCTGGAGAGGGTGTGGAGAAAAGGGAACCTTCTTACACTACTGGTGGGAATGTAATTTGATGCAGCCATTATGGAAAACAGTATGGAGATTCCTCAAAAGACTAAAAATAGACATCATATGAGCCAGCAATCCCACTTCTGGGTAGATATCCAGAGGGAACTCTAATGCAAAAAGATACATGCACCGCAATGTTCATAGCAGCACTATATAAAATAGCCAAGACATGGAAACAACCTAAATGTCCACTGATAGATGACTAGATAAAGAAGTTGTGGTATATTTATACAATGGAATATTATTCAGCCACAAAAAAGAATAAGATAATGCCATTTGCAACAACATGGATGGACCTAGAGACCATCATTCTAAGTGAAGTAAGCCAGAAAGAGAAAGAAAAATACCATATGATATCACTCATGTGATATCTAAAAAAAAAGAACAAAGAACACTATGAACTCATTTACATAACAGAAATAGATTTGCAGACATAGTAAACAATCACTCAGAAGAGAGAAACCACATGATAACTTGAAGGGAAAATCTAATATAAAGAATTACCAACTATATCAGGGGTTGGGGTAATAAACGATTAGCTATTAAAAAGCAGAGAAGTCTACCATGAATGACTGAAAAATTGTGCTGAACACTGGAATTTGACACAACATTGTAAAATGATTATAAATCAATAAAAAATGTTAAAAAAAAAAAGCAGAGAAGTCTAATATATACAACAGATGTAAGGAAGAGCCACTACTCAAAAGCTGTGATAGTGTCCAAGGAAAAGCACACCTCCCACACCCACCATTGCAGGGATGAGAGACCATAGCCATGGCTCACTGGATGGCAGGGAAGTCTCTGTGGTGCCACATGGCTGGAACTTTCTAGAAGTCTGCCCTTGGAACTTACCAGAAATCCTCATTTCAGAACGCCAGGGAAAGCTATCCATGGGGAAGTATCTCACAGCACCACCCAAGAAATGAAAAGGTGCTGGCCACCAGATGCTGCTGGCCACATGCACTTGTAGGAACCTTGTGTTGGAGAAAGGACAAGTGTCTGAGGCTGGGGAAGCCAGGAGCTGGATGCTGGAGAGCTGCAGGAGCCTAAAGAATCAGTTCAGTGGAACCAGGAAGTAATAACCCTTTCCTGGTGTAATGTCTCTCCAGCGCCCTCTACTGTGCCTCTGTGCCACCTGGCAAAGGAAAAATACTTCAAAGGCCCATAACCATTTTCACAGAACAGAGAAAAGGGTGAATTTGGAGCTGAGGCAATAAACTGAAAAATGGCACATGGCCCATTTATATTTTAATGTTATTACCTATATATCTGTGTTTAAGTCTATTATCTCAAAATGTGCCTGATATTTGTCCACTTGTTTTATGTTCTTCTTTGTCCCCTTTCTAACCTTTTTCTGGTTAAGTATTTTTATTAGTCTAGTTCCCCTCCTCCAACAGTTTGGAAAATATGCATTATTTTGCTAATGTTTTAGACCTAATTCTGATTATAAAATATATTATTGTACTTAAAAAAATTTTAACTGCTAATATTGAGGTAAATTACATACCATAAAATTCACTCATTTTAAATGTATGGTGGTGGGGGAGGGTATAGCTCAGTGGTAGAGCACATGCTCAGCATGTAGAGGTCCTGGGTTTAATCCTCAGTACCTCCATTTAAATAAAAAAAGTAAATGTACAATTAAGTTTTTTTAGTAATTTTACAGAGTTGTGAAACTATCATCACAGTTTAATTTTAGGGCATTTCTACAGCCCTCGAAAGACATCTCATGGCCAATTTGCAGTTACTGCCTTTCCCATCTCTAGTCCTAGGCAACCACTGATCTGCTTTTTATCTCTGTAGTTTTGCCTTTTCTAGAAATTTCATATAAATGGTCTCATACAAATTGTGGTCTTCTGCATCTGGCTTCTTTCACTTAGCATAACATTCTGGAGGTTCATTCATACTGTAATATGTATCATTACTTAATTTCTTTTTATTGCCAAAGAATAGTCCATTTTATGTCTGCACTACATTTTGTCCATCCATTCACCGCCTGATGAACATCTGAATTATTTTTTGGCTATTATGAATAATGCTTCTATGACCATTTGTGTACAAGTCTTTGTGTGAACATACATTTTCATTTTGGGGGTAAATACCTAAAAGAAGAATTGCTTTAGTTATGTGGTAAATTTATGTGTAACATTTTAAGAATTGTCAAAAGGATTTCCAAAGTGATTGCACCATTTTACATTCCTGTTAGCAATGTATGAGGGATCCAGTTTCTCTACATTCTCACTAATATTTGTTGTAGTTTCTTTTAATTATAGTCATTTTTATTTTTCTGGTTAAGATGGCAGAGTAGTAGGACCATGAGCTCTCCTCTCCTCACAACTACAACAAAACCACAACTGAATGCTAAGCAACCATTGGGGAAAAAAAAAGACTGGAACCTAGCAAAAAAGATTTCCTTCAACTGGAAACTTAAAGAGGGAACCACAGCGGGACAATAGGAGGGGCGCGGTCACCCTCCTATAGTCAGGTCCCACACCCCCTGAATGATAATTAAATTGCAGAGGCCCTCCCACAGAAGTGAGAGTTCTGGGCCCCATGTCAGGCTCCCCAGCATGGGGTTCTGGCACTGGGAGGAGGAGGAGACCCCAGGGCATCTGGTTTTGAAGGCCAGCAGGGCTTAACTTCAGGAGCCCCATAGGACTGGGAGAGACAGAGACTTCATTCTCTTGGGACACATACACAGAATCTCGCATGCACCAGGTCCAAGGGCAGAGGCAGTGATTTCATAGGAACCTGGCCAGACCTGACTACTGGTTTTAGAGGGTTTTCTGGGGAGATACAGGATGGCTGCAGCTCACCCAGGGGACCTAAAAGCTGGTGGTGTACATTCTGGGAGTGTTCATCTACATGAGATTTCCTGGAGGCTGACATCTTGATTGGATCATTAGCACCAAGACGTATCCCCATCTGACAGCCCGAAGGCTTAAGGGCTGGGGAGCCTCAGGCCCAACAATATACTAGGTGGGAACACAGCCCCACCATCAGCAGACTTCCTGAGCCACAAACACCTCTAGACACCAG